CTTGATGATTGCCAACCTTAGGAACGAAGATGGCACTTGAAGAAGAAAATAAGCGTAAAACCGATAGTCCTTTAATTTTTTTTTTTCGAAAAAATACTGGCTCTCGCCCCTATTATAAAATGAACAGTTAAGGGTTTAGTCATCAACTTTAGCTTTTTATTTGCTAGTATCTACAGCGACATATTAGCTGAGCAAGTGTTTCCCCTCCACAAGAAAAAATTCCTAGCTACCAGTCATTCGTCAAAATAAGTTCATAAAATTTGTTATTTTTTTTACCACAACCGCCACATTGCAAGATCAGGAAGACATAAGACATTCTGCAGCTTACAAATTAACCACTACCATTGGTACGTTTAAATGCGCATAACAACGGCCATTACTTAACCATCAGCCAATCGGAATTAAGAGGGCAAAACTACTTCATTTTGCTGGGCTAAGAACTCCATTAATTTAAAGGGTGCACTTTTTAAGGCTTCTTTTAAGATTCTATAAATATATGTTTTTAACGTAGTCCCTCCAACTATTATAATGACTAAAAATTTTTTAGAGGTTGTTCGAGATTGATGTTTTTGCTTTTTGTATTTGACTACATCATTTTTTTATTTATGTTGTAGCTTTGTAAGGGCTCGTATCTGGTGATATCCTGCTGCTACCTATTAGTAGTGTATAGAATAAAGCGGCACTACCAAAACTAATTAGCGGTGCTATCTGTTATTGAGATAATAACGCATAGACGTTTAATTTGTTTGGAATTTTGTATTCAACTTATATGTACTGTACACCTTAAATTACACTACGTACATTGAACTTGTTTGTATAAAACTATCTTAGCTGTCTGCATGATGTGATCCGTGTTTGAAATTATATGAATCATTTTTTGCATTACATGATCTGTTCTTAATGATCTGAATCTCTCAGAAACATAAAACTACGACCTCAGTATGTAAATTAAGAGGGTGGAGTGTAGGAGTCCCTTCCTTAATATTATGGATGACAAGCTTCATTGGTCATTACAAATTGGGGTGGTTCTGGTAGACACAATAGTTTAAGATTTCACCATCTGACCCATTTTAGAATGAAAGTTTAAACATTTATGGGGCAATAAAATCAATCGCTTTGAGTCCTGGATGGGCCTACACACCACAATACATGACTCTATGACAGCCTTCTTGCTGTCAACAAAACAATTTGTTGCAAAACCCGGTTATTCCCCCAGCAACATTATACCTTATAAGAATACAGCATAATATTTTTATTATACTAACTTATCGAAATCAGATCTTTATTTTAAAGTGTTACTGACAGTACCACCTACTGATAGTAAAAAAAAAATATTTTGTACTAAGTAGATAATCAGTGTTACGCAATGACGATCATTAAGCCATTGTTTTCCCATAAAGAATTCTTAGTATGAAGTTATTGTTAAATTAGGAAATAATTCGTAGAAAGAATTAAAATTCAGCATATGTTTCATTACTGTAATAGTATAAGATTAATTCTCTAAAAAGTGCAGACTTGTGGCCCATTGGGTCATATCCGGAAACATAAAATATTTATGGTCATTTAATTAACATGGAAAAATTATTTTTTTACATGTATATTTGAATCTGAATAATTGGCAACGAATAGGAATGCAAACAAAAAGAATTTGCCATTGGCGGGTTGCTTGTTGTTATTAATAATAATAATGTTAATAATGTTTTATTATTCGTTTAAGTATTTCAATGAATCAAGTGTATGAAACTGCAGGATGTTACAAAAAGTTGTGTTGAGAAGCACGATAGCATGATAATTGTTATGTCATTGAACATTAATTAAAAATTCTCTGCTTATCACATATGCGAAGATTAGTTCAGGTTTGGAAAGAGTACAGGTGCATATCTAACCAGTCTTGGGACTGACGACTTCTTGATGATGAATATGAAAAATATCATTGAGACGTCAAAGTAGCATTGAAAAAACAATATTCCTGGAAGAGGATATATCGCAGATATATATCGTAAGTAACTAATTGGCAGAGAGATAACGTACAACTTGAACCTCCAGGGACCTAGCGAAGTATTCAAGTTGGGGGGGGGGGGCGGTATGTAACCGATTAACCATCCGTTGTACATTAATTTTCCAATTGATGTTTTACACACACGTGCAAAAATATGCATTTTTAAATAAAAAATAATTATCAAATAATATTAAATCAAATTAATTTCATTCCACTATAGATTACCTCAAGTTAATAAAGAAAAAATTTTTGTTCGCACACCCTTGCTTTTAATCGACCCCAGAAGACATTCTTAATACAGTAGGTTAATATTTTAAGCTTACGTGAATTCACCTGTGTTTAAGTTTCACTATATTGTTTACATCAATAGCGTCGCAAAAACTGTTTTCGCTTTTCGTCTTATCATTAGGGCATCATGTCTCTCTTCTATTTTAAGTACTAATGTTTTTTTCGTTCGAAGCGACCGAAAAGCTCGCTGTAAATATTAGCTGATGAAGACGAAAAGTTTCCCCCGTAGCTATTTTATATTTAGCAGCTACCTTAATGATGCCTTACCTAAAAGACCATATATCAAATAATATCTCTAACTGCGCGTATGAAGCGGTTATGACTCAGCCATATGATCAGGTGGATCACTTGTAATATTCCTTTTGTGTAAAGTGTTTATGAGAATGTTTGAGATTAGGTTCAAACGTTCTACAGCCATTTTGAGTTTATCATGTAAAAAGTTTGTAATTTTATCTTAAACGCTTAAAAATTCTTTTCTATAAAACATATTTATATCAAAGCTAGCTGCATTGGAGTCACAGTTTTCAAATATTCGTTTTCGGTAATGACTGGAAATCCTGATTTGGATTAATTTTAAATTTTCTAGCAAAAATTTTGGCACTTTCTATTAGGTTATGAATTACATTTTTCTCTTACTTTATTGAAATAGGGGATTCTTTGGTTCTTGTGTATTACGTCTACAATATTCAAGCCTTCATCTTAGTATTTTTGCGTACCAGAACAGATTTACGAATTATCCCCTCAAGTCACTATTGATGTACCACTGTATGAAATCGAATGCTTATAGTAACTGACTTACTATGGGGTATTTCACTCGAAATATTGTCCAGAAGTCCTATTTCTTGATGATACTGTAACAGTAATTTTTGCTTCGGTAAACACCGAATATTATGGTCGCTATGCCCTTTTGTATAATCTTCGAGTTTCTCAACCTACCTACAGGCGTTTGACACGAAATTATGAAAAAAGTCTATTTTAACATATTTCCTAATTAATAACATAAGTTGAAAAAGCCAACTGAAGAAAATATTGAGGGGAGCAACCTCCGACATCCCCCTTTGGCTAAGGGCGTGTAAACCACTAAACTAAAGATTTGAAATATTCTTTGAGTACTTTAAGGATACACTAAGGAACGGTTTTCTGAAATTCAATACTCTAAGGGGTGCAATGGCAAAGTTTATATAAAGAATTATTAATTCTTTTTCAAAATATGCATGGAAAGGAACGAAAGAGGGTTGGAAGATTGCGATGACCTAGAAGACTAAAGAAGGGTTTGTAAGACGGGAGGCGCAGACCTATGTGGATGTGAAAACTGAAAATGTTGATTTTGCTTGAGGGGGCCGATGGGGAGAGCGGGGAAATGGGTGGAGTAGATAAAAACGATGCTGTGGAACATTAAAAAGATATTTTTACCTGGAAACAAACGGGTAGAAAAATTGAAAATTTTAAATGTCGAGTTATGTAATTTACAACTATCCCTTCTACCACCACGTCTGACCGCCAACTAATTCCGTTGGGGTTGTGGATGATCCTACTTTATTAAACTTGGCAACCCCAATCACCGGAAGTGTAAAGAACTGCGATATGTAATAAAGAATTTCTGATTTAAGAATGCTTATCATCTTCTTAATAATAAAAGAAATCAAAAGTAAGAATTTAAGATTATGATGATGAGAAGTAGTTATTCTTAAGGTGAGAATTTTATTTTTTTTGTAAGTATTATGATATGATATCTGATGAATGACAGTGACATAACATCGTACATCGACATATTAGCTAAACAAGAGGTGTAATTGAATTGCTTATCTGTAGTACCAACACTTAAACAAACATCTTCTTTCTTCTATGTTTAATGTAAATCAGTGTGGAGTATCAACAACTATTGCAGGAAATTAAAACGCAAGTTTTCTTAACTTAGAAACAATAAAAAAGTTTGAAATGATTTATTATCGTTGTTTTTAATTGCTGAATACTGATATCAGGTAGTAATTCTACTTAATAATGTTAAAATATTAAATGCGTTTAGATCAAATTCGTTAACACTGAACGAATAGTTATTGTTTCCAGAGTCGTAGCCAGTTTTTCCTTTTCAATGAGTCAAGACCGTTGTAGATTTTAATTTTTCATATAGCGCAAAACATATTGAGAATCTAGGCAGGAATAGTAAAGAATGTCTTAGACTGCATGTTATTTATTCACCGCCTCATGGGTAAATAACTTAGCAATCATGTTCATCGAGAGAAAAATATTGCAAAAGCTTTTGATTTGCACAAAGTACAGAAATATTTACATCAATAAATAAAAACAGCATTCATTTCATTATCCACACTGCCATGATAAGAAGTCATACCGATTTTAACCACGTTTGTTTAAAAACTGTAATATAATAAGGGAATGGTGAGCAATGGTGTATAAAGTCAGGGACCTGGGTTGGATTCTCGGCGAGAGCCTAACAGCATCAGCAACAATTTTTCTCAATAAATTTAAGATTATTAGTAGTGGCAAAAATTAATTCACTTTAATATACCTATTAAAAACCGTACAAAAATTTTTCTAAAATTTTCTTAATACCGGAACTTATTAAGGACATAGAAAAATACGATGGAAGGCTAAGTATATTAATAAAAAATATTCGCAAACTCATCCAACTCACAAGAATCAAATTTCATCACCGATGAAAATAAACATTTGATCATGGAAATACTAAGACAACTCTTTAGTATACTTTTTTATTAAAAAAAAAACTAACAAACACTTATTTTTAAATAATAAATAGTTTAAGAGAGTGGAGGGTAGTCTCCAACAGCCCTGGTGGCGATGATGTTTTTGAAAAATGTGGCTGATGATTTTGGTCTTCTTGGAAGATCTGGGTCAGTAAAATTGACAGAATGAAGTCCGTATCGGTATCTAAAAATTATATCGGAATGTAAATTCTATTTCTTTCTGAAAGAGTAATTACTGGTAATTGCTTACATATATCCAAATCTCCATTCAAAATTGTCCATTAGACTCCAAACAGCATAACTGCGTACGTCCACATTGTCTTCGTTGATAGCTTCTAGAAGTGCTTCAAGGTATGACTACAAACAAAATTAATTTTTGTTCACCTGTACACGTTATTTGCATTATTTTATTTTATTTACCCCTATATAAGATACTCTAACATTATCTTCTAATTCTCCACTATCTGGACAACCATTTTCTGTAATGTGAATGACAGGGTTGTTATATGTGTCTTTAATCCACGCTAGAAGTTTTCGGAAACCCCATGGAACAATCTAAAAGATACGGTTTTAAGAAAGTTATTTAAATGATGCAAAAGTGTGAGCATACGGCCTCTCTACGAGATGCATCCATCGGCCAACTAGAATTACGGTACAGTTCACTTTGCATATCGTTTTCAAATAAAACTGAATTGTTTATTACTGGCACGTTGTTTATCATTTTAGTGGTGTAATGATTCAGTCCAAAGAAATCGTATGTTCCTCTAATATATTCAATTTCATCCGATGTGAATTGGGGAAGTCTAGACCTAGAAAAGCCTTGGGCAGCACTTCGACTCCCAATGTTCTCCTTCATTACTTGAGGATAATCACCGTTTGTAGAGAAAATTGGATTAGAGTACATACCTATCTAAAACCACAAACGAAAGATGATAGATATGCAAAATAACGTAAAATGTTAGTTTTTATACACATAATCCTTTAAATTACGTGCACAATTTTAATTTAACCTAAGTACCTTGAATTGTCTGGCTCTGTCAGCAGCATCTTCATCTTCAGCGGTGGTCGGTTCATACCATTCGGCGCTTAAGGTGATGCCCATTGTAGCTTAAACAGAATTTTAAAAATGTCGTTGTTTGTCTTGCAATTATTTCTAATCTGTCCTGCTATATTTCACTTAGTAAGCCTTTCGCGAGAAGCAGCAAATAGTTTATTGAGTTAACTATTTAGCAGAATGGTTCTAAACCTACTTCTGAATTGTTCTGTAGGGATCTATGAAATTTTATTGTTAAATCGATTAGCATTTTTTAATTGACGACTTGTCTTACACTAAATCATAGGATCATTACTTAAAAAAAAAGTTCAAAACCGACTGCAAGTACATTGGAATTCTAATAAATTAAGTATTGCGAATATTTACCATTATTTCTAGTCCTGTAGGTATCATTGAATAGGTGATAAACTGCAGCATGAGCCTTTAATAAGTTGTGTCCACATATATAATCGGCTATGCCCGACATGTTTAATGCTGGAACTTTTAATATGTTTCCATAACCTTGATTACAAACTTGAGCAGGTTCGTTGAATGTGATCCAATATTTAATGCGATCAGAATAATTTTCCAAGAGGACTCTTGCATATTCCGCAAATAATTTGATGATATGCGAATTTGCCCAGCCACCGATTTCTTGGATGGGTTGAGGAAGGTCCCAGTGATAGATGGTCAACATGGGTGTTATGTTTTGGGCGAGAATAGCATCAATAAGATTGTTATAGTATGCGATTCCTTCTGCATTCGGACTGTATGGATAACCTTTGGGAAATATCCGAGACCACGATATAGAAAATCTATAAAAATTGGCTCCTAAGTTTTTAAGAAGAGCAATGTCCTCCTCATATTTATGGTACGAGTCACAAGCAACATCCCCATTGCTTGCGTCATAAACGAATTCGGGATTCCTGTGGGCTACATAATCCCAATTGTTTTCACCTTTTCCTAGTAAGAAGGAAGTATCTCTGTGATTTCGAATATTACAACAATTTGATTTAACTTATTGTTACCTGACTCATTCCAAGCTCCTTCAACCTGATAGGAGGATGTTGCAGTTCCAAAAAGGAAATCGGGAGAAAAAGTGTAGTTTGAAGCACATTCTCCGCTAAAATTAAATACTGGTGTATAGAAAGATAATTTTTTACTGAGTTACTACAGTTATGAGCTCGATAATGGAAGCGTATTGAATAAATCTATTGGTACTTACTGCGCAATGAAACCTATTAAAGTAATTATCCTTAAAAACATTGCGTTGTTATTAACTTCTATAGTCAATGATACTTAGGGTAGGAATCACACAGAGGTGCTTATATATACTTTTAAGACTTAATACTTAAGCGAGTTTTGATTAGATCAACCTTGCTGATTTTTTTAAATGACGTAAATTGTTATTATTTATATATTGGAATGCAATATTTTATACCGTTCATCATCAACTCCATTTATTTCCATTTATATCTTCTCCAAATAGGTACATAAACATTCTTTGTAAACTTCAAACAAATATTTCATAAGAGTAAATCATGATGATGATGATGTTGTTGTTCTTGATCGATCTGAAGTTGTTATAATGAATTCTATATCGGTAATATCTAAAAATTTTACTTAAGGATATACTTCCTCGTTACGAAACGGTAAAGGTAAACAGGACCGCTATTTCAAGAAGTAGCTGTCACTTTTAAGGGATGTAAATAAATGCAATAGTGGTGGCTGTTTATATCCGGTTTAACGTCATTGGCGTGCAATGAAATAGATGATTATGTAATGGCTAGCTGCATAGACTTTATCTAGGGTGTACAAATGCCGATTAACTTTATTGGTTGTAACACAAAGATGAAACCCTTTAAGCCAGTGGTTTCCAACCTATGGGGCGTGCCCCCCTAGGGGTCGCGAGACTGTTGCAAGGGGGGCATGCAGCTGTTTTCAAAATATCATTTTCAAATACAAACCAAAAAAGTCGAATAGTTGTCAAAAAAATGAATCAGCAAAATAAGTATACGTATACCTAATCCACAATCCTCGCCGCGAAAATTATTATTTCTTATAATTTATAATTATGTTTGGAGCACGGCGTTGTACGGGTGCGAAACATGGACAGTGGGAGCGGTGNGATATCAGCTGAGTATTTATGAAATTAGATCGTTAGAAAAATTAAGGGGCCGCAACAATTTTTTTTAAAGGGGGGCGCAGGTACAAAAAGGCTGGAAACCACTGCTTTAAGCATGCATCATTGAGATAAATGATCGTACAAGTCTTGCCCTACTTACAACCAGTATTCGTTTTTCTACTTTTTCTGTTTTGTCTTCTCTTCTAATGTTCGTGGTTTATTTTCTTTTATATATACTATTTTCATCATCATAAGGTCGTCAGTCCTAAGACTAGTTCGACACGCACCTCCACTCTTTCCTATCCTGAGATAATCTTCGCATTTGTCTAAAACATCCAGTAATCTAATCTAGGTCTACCTGTATGCCTCGTAACTCCTGTTTCTGCCTCTAATTTATCTCTGACTAGACCTTCATGCCTGAGAAGGTGTCCTTCCTACTTATATCTCCTATTTTTTTATTGACTTTCATAGAGTCCTCTGTTCTCCTATTCTTTCTAATACCTCTTCATTGCTAACCTTCTCTATCTCGGGTATGCCCATCATTTGCCGGTAACATCACATTTCGAACGCTTCTAACATCTTCTTTTCCGCCTCGCCCACCGTTCATGCTTCGCACCTGTACAGCGTATCGCTCTAAACACACCTTTAACAATCTTTTGAATTTCTAAATACGATTTACTATTTTATCTGATCTAACTTTTTTTTAATGTACAATTATTCATTTTCTCATTTTCCTTTGTGTTTTAATATTGTACAGTACAGGCGCGTTCTTTTTTATTATATAGTCGGTAGGCGCTTCGTCGAATCCGACCCTACCCCCTTTTAGCGAGTGTCTTTTGAAGATTTCCCTCCTCGAGGAAAAACTAAACAAAACAAAAGGCAGTATTACATTTCTGACAATCCGCCTACCAGCGACAAGGAAGAGGGAGCTCTGGCTTCATAGTTCATTCACATTTATTTTGTATATGTTATCGGAAATGTATGAAATCTAGGAATTTTGTACAATTCCGCGGCTATTTAGGAAATATATAAAATATTGTTTCAAAGATCTTTTAATACACACATATCTTGAGAAATGTATACATTTCCTAGAAATTGTATACAATGACGGGTTTCATACATTTCCGGTAACCTATAGATATATATTGTATTGTTTTTGTATATGTTTGTTGATCGTCGTATGCGTTTTAGGCTTTGTTGGTAAATATGTCGTTTTATTTTCTATTTGTATATCTTTGGTAACATACAGATGTGTAAATATTGTAAATAAACTTTGTATATAGTTAAAGTGCGTGTAGATTTCCAAGCGCGTATCAATTTGCAATTTTTTGTAATAGACAATAAGTAGTGGTAGGCACCTCCACCATATTTTTATGTTCATGTTTAGTCAAATAAAATGTTTTGTAGTTGCTCTTAAGCTTTTTATGCTAGACCGCATAGAGGGACTAAATTCGCTCTGTTACTGGTTTATGAAATAAATAAATAAAAACAAAACCTTTGTTAATTATCATTATATTTACACAGACGTTTTGGTATTGTCGAACCTTGCCTTTTTCATAGAGGTCGTTCAGCATTAAGAACAAAGAGTTCCTCTAAAATTGACTTTGCTGTTCTAATTTACAAAGAAAGTCAAATTTTGTGGATCATTTTTTGAAGACAAATAACCTATAACTATTTAAAGTTGAGAAATACGTAAATTTATATAATCAATTACTAGGATTATTTGGGAATCTTTAGTAGATTGATGCGTAATTCATCTCATAGGGAGTTTAGCCATATATGCAGTAAAGTAAAAGATCTAACCTTTTTTTGTTTTCTTCTATACCACCAAATATAACATCTATCACAATAAACCCGTAGTCTCAATTAGTTTTGACTTATTGATTTGCATGGTACATTAATAAATTAAATGCTAAGCTAAACATATTTTATTAATTTAACAATTTTTAAACAGTTCTATTGATGATGACATTTTTATAAAAGTTGACAGAGGCTTTTGGTGTTCTTTCTAGTTGAGGGTCGCTAAAGTTAACGTAATGAAGCCCGTACCTGTAACTGAAGTCAAAGAAAATTGAAAATGTAAATATAGACAATTTATATGCTGTCATAATACCTGTATCCATATTTCCACTCAAAGTTGTCCATTAAACTCCAAATGGCATATCCTTTGACAGCGACATTGTCCAAATTAATTGCTTCTAGAAGCGCTTCTAGATATTGCTAAATGAAAACGATTTATTAAAATCATTTTATTATCAGCTAATAAAATTTGTTGAGGAAAAACAAAATTATAGGAATAAGCTATTTATAGCCAATAAATTTCTATCTATTAGTTAAGAAGTTAATGCCCTTTCAGAAAAAAAGATTTTTGATTGATTTATTAAAGTTATTTACTCACCGTGTGATATGAGATTCTTATGGTATCATTAAATATTTCTGGATCAGCACATCCATTTTCGGTTATGTATATGTCGGGATTATTGTAAGTGTTTTTAATCCAGTTTAGGAGTTTTCTGAATCCCCATGGAACAACCTTACAGAAAAGAAAGTCATAAAAAGGTAATAGTAATGAAAACATTTCTTTGGTTTCCATTGTTTTCTCATAGTAATAGTAGATATGGTGATAACAACAATTAGTCCGTCATCTACATTATTGTCGGTGTCTATTGATAACTAGGAAACTGAACAGAACCTAATTTTATTTTGACCCTTCGGTTTGCCTGTTGGAGTAGAAAAAACTATTAATTTCAATTTTCTTATTCCACTCTTTTTGGTTTCTGTTCTACGTGTCGTGTGTCTTTGATTGACCTGCCTCAGGTGAAATATGAAATACAAAATGATAAACATGAAACGTGATAAATGAAATGTGAAAAGCGAAGACAAGAATTAGGAAAGGTTATTGGGTATAAATCTTAAATCTTTCTAGTTTATCTAAAATTTAAATGTCTTGGAAAATATTCACAAGACTACAAATTAAATGATAGATTCATAACGATTTCAACATTGTATTCTTTTTATTTTCTAAACGCGAATCCAAAAGCTTGGTTTCTAGTTTTAAAAACACGGAATACGAAGCTCTTTTATTTTGTAATATACAAACCAAAGAATCAAAATAAAATTAGTTGTAGTTGAAGTTTTCATCAGTTATGTATCAATGGATTTGAAGTGTATTTTGAATGACGCCTTGACTGTTGTTGTAACCACACTATTACTATAGCAAAATAAAAATAAACTGAAAAAACGACGTTATTAGGTGTATCAACATAATTAAATTATCCAAACAGATTTAAATCATTTTCTTTACTTTACTGATATTTAGATATATCAAATTATTAATTTCCATTGTTGAGCTTCTCGAATTTAACACATATACGAACAAGACTATTTCCTTGGCGTTTCTATTGTAATCCATTTCATGAAACAACTTTCAACAGGATTTGCTTTTTTATGACGTAACATGAAACGCATTTCCCTGATTCTCATTTAAAACAGTGTGTTGCTAGTTTATGAAACATATTTCATGTTTCCATGGATCACGTTTCATGTTTCATATTTCTTCAAAGTGTGACCCGCTTAAAAACTCATAAAAGGCATTTGTAAGCGATAAAATTTCCACAAACAACTTTAAAATTCGGGACGATACTCTGCCACTGGTGAAGATTGCATAGAATAAAAAACAGAATAGTTAGAATTTTCCTTACTGCAAGTCTGTTAGCACCGTCTAAGGGCCAGGTGGGATCAAACCATGTGCTAATTTGGGCATCGTTTTCGTATGAAGCCTTCCTAGTACTGTTTACAGGTGAACTTGCGACCATAAATGTAGAGTAGTGATTTATTCCAATAAAATCGAAAGTTCCTCTTATATATTCTACTTCATTCTGTGTGAATGTCGGCAGTCTTGAAGTTGAGAAACCCTCAGCTGTACTGCGTTCGTCAACCGACTTCCTCACTGTCTCTGGATAATCACCATTCGTCGAGAATATTGGATTTGCGAACAATCCTATCTACAAAAGAAACTATGAGGCTTCTGCATTCAGTGGTGTATTTAAATCTAGTGATTCTCTCGGCTGAATTAATTGTTACAAGAATAATTTTCCTTGGGGACTGTAGTAGAGTCAATCACATCTGAAAACTTCGTACTTCTCGTCAGTCTGCTTTTTATAGTCTGCTTTAGTTAATAAATTTAGTTGCG